GTAACCAATCTTTGGAACTCCCTTCCAGCTGACGTGGTGGAAGAGGTCAATGATAAGATGTTCAAGAGGAAGCTCGACAGCGTCCTGCGAACAATGTGGCATGCAGATCTATCATGAATGAGATCTTCGAGTCTGTGGTGATGAGGCTCATACGGGAAATTACCCTCTGCCTCTAATTGAAGAACATTGAACATTGAACATGTAAAGAAACAAGAATGTTCAGTTTATACAGAATCACCACCCTCGTTCAGTGGACTGGTGGAATTGGCCGGACGACAACACCGTGCACAGGGGCACTGCTCATTAAGCAACAATATGAACGGAACGTGGGTATTAAAGAAGAAAACCTATCAATGATTGCGAGTTTCTGTATCGAGCAATGAAGGTGAACCTACAGGTTCAAGTCTTTAACCATCTAAGTTAAACAGATAATTAATAAATTGAACTGATGGACCACGGTAAATGTACGTGGTAGGATCGCTGGCTGCAATGTTTTCGCGAACCTATTTCATATAATGTTTGAGTCTTTGATCCTAAAAACTATTAGTGAATGCGCAGTATACGCTATCATCTCGGTGATTTTGAATACCCAGTTTACTTCAATAACGATTGAGAAGTAGCTCAAGAAATGCTCAGCTCGAAAGAAAACGACAAAAACAAGATGTAAATTTATAATTTAAAATAGTATCTTCCGTTCTTCCGTTGATAATACTGTTCAGTGATTTATTCTTCATCAGAAATAACTGTGATAGCATCGTTCAATTTAGATGATATCAGAATATACATTGATCATTCGGAAGATACAATATATTGAGGGACACTGCAAGACACTGGTTCCTGTAATAAGTAGGATAATACGGTTGCGGTTCGATAGAATCAATTTTCATTCCCCGGGTGACCCGAGAACAAAGCACTATGAAATCAAAAATAACTTGATCGAACGACAAAACTGGGGGAGAAATAACCTAGTGTTTTTACAGTTTTTGAAAAATAACATGGGAAGCACACGTGCAATCCTGGTCCACATGATCATTAGCACTTGAACACCACGAAATGATCCGTTCAACAGCCCTAGGAATGAATGATACAAAGGCACCCCAGACAACAATGTCCCAATCAAAGAGGTTACCGACGGTTATGAATTGTGGTTGGGAAACGGGACAACAAATGCTAATGTTAGACTCAGAATTGTGGGTGATTATGGTAGCCTACCGGGTCCAGTGGTTGACCTACCTAAATTATGATGTTTGGGACATATATTGAGAATATCATCAAATAGCTTGCCACGGCTTGTGGAGTTTGTCGAGGTAAATAGTAGACGATAAAAAACCAAGGGAAGTCCAACTAAATTAGCACCACGGACTGGCGGAGTGGTGACACGTTGCCAGTTCTGCTGATAAACCTTATCCAGCGGTTTCTCAAAGTCAGACCGAATTGAGAACAAAGTCGATTACGAGCGTTGAGAGTTTTATGTGACCTGCCGTATCAAGGTGTACAGAGAGTAAAAAGCACGACACGACTTACCGGAAATTGTGCCATATTCCAGGTCAAATGCGATCGCATAATAGAGTGCAATAAAACAAAATAGGGCTTTTATTTGATTCCAGGGAATGACGTTAAAAGGTAGGAAATCCCTAACCAGGAAAATCAATTCTATAGGTCGTGTTCAACTCTCTAGATGGGAAACATGGGATCATCGCAACTGGGGGATTAGAGACTGAGCGAGATGGCTGAACGTCACAAACAGTGACGTTCATACACCTGCTAATAATCCTTATAACTCTAGTTTATTTGAATTTTCCTCTTTTCTCTTTGACCGTAATACCAACATTCCAATCTTCCTTCTGCTTTTCTATCCGAATCAGCGGTCTAAAGATAACATCCGAGCCGTCGCACAAAGATGCAGGGATGATTACAAACAAACGGAGCGGTATATACGGCTCCATATTCCACATGGCATTTAAACGATTCATGTGAAGAGTGATTCGGATGTACGAAATAGCAAGAATGCGTTCGACAGTTTCGAAATAGAGCAACTTACTGCAATTCTTATTGAAGGAGCAGCAAATTTGTTCGTGTTTGGGTAGTGTTCAATAATCGTGGTCTTGCAACGTGGATTCAGTCCCGAAAAGTGATTTGTGTTGGATTGTGGTGCATTCAGTTGAAACTCTGTAGGGAATTACTTGTGTTTGAGATTGAGAAAGGAAACTATGAATATCTTGTAATTTTATCAAGTGAAACTATTCCTTTTGATGCATCCAATTTGATCGGTTGGATGTGATTTTGCGCCAGCTTCTCTAGATTGTCTCATGGATCAAAGCTAAAGATTGTAATGGAAATGAGTGATTCTGTAAAGTGNCCATGGCAGCATTCACAGCAGCTGATCCTATCTATTCAGCGACTATATGAATAATATGATACCTATTGTTACCACTAGTCAAGGACTTACTCGGTCTACGTGATAACAAGTGAAACGCGAGCACAAACTGACGCGATACTGCACACATAGATATTAGAAACTATTAGAGCAGAAATATGTTGATATTCGATCATATTACAAGGTTACTAGTATTCGGGAAAGAAGTATGATGCGTCTCATCATACTTGCGTTTTAGTCGACTAACACGCGCACACACAACTCATTCTTATCTAAATGACAATTTTAACAAAGACAGCATAAAACATGAATTGAATTTTGTATTGCTAGTTTGACTGGGTTAAAGCAAACCATATACTGTGATGATTGTACGATATTTTCTGTCTTTTACAGTTGGTTCATTTCCTAGTTCATCCACATGCGTCCAACCTGTCCATCTGTACACTCCACTCTATCTATCCTCTTGCCAATTGGTTCCATTTTGCGGTCCAATCAGATAGCAGCTGAATTCATACATATAATGGCTCAGTTCACATCTGAATTCGTAGTTAACGGTTTGATCACCGCTACAGAATGGTCAGACATTTAATTCAATCACAGTTACGAAAGATTTGTTCAAATCCGAACGGTCAGGAAGATGCAGCAGAACTGGTAAATCGACGTCTGGAGGAGATGTACAAACTGAATGCCGCCCGATTGAGTGAAAAAGAGAGAAAAACATACGAGCGGACTTTGGAGCGAAAGTATCGTTTTCAAAGTGACGCTGACCGGATTGGTGCGGATGTGAGTTTAATTTTCATGGTGGTACATGAATGTAAATTTGTGTGTGAAGTAATGACGTCGTGCAATCTAAATGGAAAACCAATGAACAAGGAAGGGACTGTTGGATGGTAAGGCTTTGATTTCAATTAGGCCATTCACACTTACCCACGGTCGCCACTGTTATTCAGACCATATCGTTACATCTGCTTATGCGTCCACTAAAATTTCTCATATAAAATACATTTATTCCGCTTAGTCTAGTTCTTGCGTCACTGTTTTATGGAAATTTTTAAGAAGGGACATTGCATAATAAGAATGATATTACGGAAGGGAGACTATCAGGGTTTGAGGAGGGTCGAACGAATGAGAGATAGAGAGGCCAGTATGAGGGACGTGGTTAAGGTCCTGAAGTGATAATTATGGTGTCACCCGAGGTTGATACGTTTGCAGTACCGGAGTCCGCTGCTGAAGCCAGGATAGGCCCCAAGGGGCTTCCCATCGTCACATCGTCGATAAGCTTCACCTTGAAAATCTGGACGCTCGATTGGCCTTGGTCATTATCAGTCCTGTGCAGCCTGACCTCACCTGGAAACTGGAACTGATGTCTGATGTTCATAAGAGCAGATGTTCCAGTTCCGACAACGGTAGATCATATTCAAGTCAAGTCAAGTCAAGGGATGGCTTTATACACCTCGAGAGGTGAATATTCAGCAACCACATAACCACAATATCAACAAAAAGTGAAAAAAAACTATATAATACAACAATTGAAGGATGTGGAAAAGGACAGCAACATCAGAAAACAATATCATACCCGGGTGTTTATAATTGATTTGGTTTAGCGTTTTGCGCAGATTTCCTGCAACTAGTTCATGGTTTGTTAAAAATCTAGTGAAATAAGGGACAATAGACCGCCTATAAGCTTCAGTGCGTGTCTTTATAAGTTTGTGAGTGGAACGGGTGGATGAGTGAGAAAAGCACTGACTAAGGGCGAAATAACGAGGATGAGAAATATCAGGTAAAATCTTGTTGGAGAATGTTTTACAGGACTTGAAGTGATGTGTCGCCACATAATGAACCAAATGTTCCCGTGGTATGAGACTACAAACTGACAGAAATTTTAGGGATCGGGAAATGAGTTTGAGGTCTTTGTTTTAGGTTATGCTGCTCGATATACTGTAAAGTGTATCCGATTGTCTCACGCAATGGCACATCAGTGAATGATGCTTCAATATACATAAAAGCCAAGAACTTAACTTCGGTGTTAAGATCGCCTAGTAGTTCAACTAGTTCGAAACTGTCCTTAACGTTTATTTCGACATACTATCCCGAATTGGTTTCTTCACCTGTGCCAACTATTCTGCCAGCTTGTGTTGTGGATAACTGATCATCGATAAGATACGTCTGAGTGGAATTCTAAGCATGTGTCTTAGGGAGGCTACAGTTGTGATAACACTCAACTACAAGCGCGGCATAGTACAAAAAAACTATTCCATCGAGCACGCCGTATGTGCAACGAGGATAGCCTTCAAGCGAAGCTTCACCAACTCCAGTCGATTTTTGTCGAGGACGGCTACTCTTGCATTTTTATTAGGGAGTTCGGTCGGAAACCGGAGCAAAAGCTAGCCGTATACGACGTCCCTAAGAAGAAGGTCTACATTTGTCTTCCCTTCAAAGGTGGTAA